GGTTATTCAATGTCCTGTCTCGAAATACCCATCGACTTGGAACTTATTTAAGATCATAGCTTTAAAGACATGTTCCATGATTGCCATCGAATGCGCAACCATGTCTCATAGCTAATAATGATCAAAGGACTTTATCATATGTGCGTATATAAGATAAGTGCATAGACATAAGATAAAGAAATGCCTCAAAATAATATAAATTCCAACAAATTGTCTTTACAAGTAGAAAAAGATCCAATCAGATTGGAACGCCGGGTATTCTACTCTAACAGGTTTGTCATATTAAACTGGGAGAAAGGAAACTTCTAGTAGAATTAAGTATGAAAGGTTAGTAAGCTTATGCTTCTACTGTGGCCTGTTGGGACATCAAGCATTCAATCCCTTCTTCATCAAACAACAACACTGAACAATGAATAAAGTTGTTGGTGATTAGAAGTAATTTGCTAGTTGTGTTGTTTAGTTTTCGATTTGTGTTTTTCAGTTTGAAGCTTGTTTGTTGCTGGTTCTTCTATTTTTTCTAGGTAGTTTTTCTTCTGTTGAGTAGCTCTCTCTGTTTGTTGTGAGTTCTTTGACTAGGTCCCTTGGGTTCAGCGGTTATTGGCTCTTTTGTTTGAGTTGTATTTAATTTTACAGCGGGGGTTCGATAATCAAGCTTTCGAACTCAGTACTTTAGTTACTGTCGAGTATGAGATTGTCTTTCCTTTGGTTGTTTTGATTAGGCACAGTGTTCCTCCTCTTCTATATCTTGGAATAGTTTGTACATGGTTGTTTAGCCTTCATTTGTACTTTGTTTTACCATTGAGCCTAGATGATGTGCTCATCCCATTGTTTTTCATGTTGATTCAATCGGCGGCGATCACGAGGGGACGGGCGTGGTCATCGTTTATTTATGATCTTATGTCTCCGCAAACTCTTTGTGGAAATTATTGTTGGGTTGAATGTTTCATACTTAGAACTATTTTGAACTATGTTTAAATAATCAAATTTGTGGATGTTTTGGAATGTTTCTATATGTTTCGAATGTGTGAGTAATGCCCGAAGAATTATTTTCGGAAATGATTTTAAAAGTTCAAATTATTTCTAAAAATTCATGTCTTTTCTTAAATTAAGTAAGCGAGCATTACAAAAACGCTTTGATGAAGCTGGTGCACCGCTGGACATGCCCTATCAACTTTTTCATGGATACACACAGTGTCATCCTACACCCCTAGGTAGCACAACGCCTTTAATGCCGAAACACTAGTTTTGGCAATAAAATTGAGTCTCCACTAGAGGTTGAGGACATATCATAAAAAGAAGAAAAAAAATCAGGAACATGAAAAGAGAGGGTCATATCATTATAACCATTGTCGTCATTATTACCTTTGTTTTCAGGCCATGAGCCATACCTCTAAACATTATCATTAATAAAAACGGGCTCGGAGATCCATATCTCCTCGTCGCACCAGTTTACGCGCCGATGAAATCAGTGTCAATTTACTTTCGGCAATTTCTTTGAACTTTTTACTAAAATTAACTCGCTAAACAGTTACAATAACAAATAACTCTCAATCTTGTTTCCTCACCGTTAATTATACACATCTCGTAATCGTTGGTGGTCTACCGTCAACAGGTTGTTAGCTAACTTTGAATTAGAACTTTTTTTTTTGGAAACGATAGATTAGATTAATAAAAATACATAATTACAAACCTAGATACAACTAGGAATAGCCAAGCAGTCATCCAGCTGAATCTAAGGAATGCATACACAAATGTAGCCTAGAGATCTACACTAACGCCCCCACAAACAGACAAACTAAACAGTCTCATATGGAAGAATCGAAACAATCCAATACGGGATAATCGATACAGGCCAACAAGGCAACCCAAAACACTACACAACACAAACACTAACAATACTACAATATTGGAATAAGACCCTCTTTTCGCCGACAGACAATCCGCATCAATCCATGGCTGGACACCTAGAGACATCCGCACAACGGAAAGAAACTGATGTAGAGGATGTATTCGAAAGGGAAATAAGAACACAAGAACATATTTCTTTTCTCAGAATAATACGATGATGCTCATAACTGTTCAGAGAGTGGGTACCTATAGGAAGAGCCCACTACTCAACAAACTCCTATTTATTAATTATTCCACTAAATAAAAATAACATAAATGAAAAACCATAATAACTAATAAACTGATAACGGATAAAAACCCGGGAAAATAAATAGTCTAAACTCGCAGACGGTCGTATTTCTGCAGAAACGCCAACGCGGCCTCGTCTCCATCATCCTCTCCGGGTTGAGGAGGATTCGCCCTCGAATCCGAATGGGCCTCGTCTTCGTCGGAGTTGTCACCCTCGAACGGCACCAAATGCTTGACGTTAAAACGTCCGAAGTGCGAATATGCGACGGGAGCCTGAGACGGTAGGCATTGGGATTGATCTTTTCCACAACCTCAACCGGACCAATTTTCCGAGCAGAAAGTTTACTATACTCATGAGCAGAAAATCTATCTTTTGTCAAGACAGCCCAAACAAAATCACCTATCTCGAACTCCACGTGGCGATGACGAGTATCAGCATGCTTCTTATAGGAAGCCGTAGTCGCCTCCAACTGGGCCCGGGCTGCCGCATGTGTTTACTGCAAATCGGCGATGAAATCCGAAGCTCGGCGATCGCCCCTGCTGCCGGACGGCAACTCAACCAAGCCGGACGGCCCACGTGGATGGATGGCGTACACCACAAGAAAAGGAGTGAACCCGGTCGCACGGCTAAGAGTCGAATTATGCGCGAACTCCGCCTGATAGAGGCGCTGGTCCCAACTGCGAATGTTATCCCCCACTAAACAACGAAGCAAGTTCCCTAAGGAACGATTCACCACTTCGGTCTGACCGTCCGTCTGAGGGTGATAAGCACTGCTGAAGTCGAGCCTAGTGTCAGCCATACGCCACAAACTCCTCCAAAAATAGCTCAAGAAGCGCGTATCGCAATCAGAGACAATCGCCGAAGGCAGACCATGCAGGCGGTAAATCTCCCGAAAAAACAACTGGGCCACATGGACAGCATCAGTGGTCCGCTTACATGGAATGAAGTGTGCCA